GTAGAATTTAAATTAACAAATGAACCAAACGAAGGTTATAATCAAGACATCGGATTTTGCAAATACTGTCGTCGTTATGTTCCCAAATCTTATTTTATTGGTTGTTACGGTAAAGTATGTAAAACGTGCGTTAGATGTCGGGAAAAACATTTAGCACACTATTTATATGGGAGGAAAACTTCTAAACATTTACCAGAAAAAAATCTCAATAGCGAAAGTAGCTGAAATGTGCGATTATTATGTTACAGGTGTTGATTTAGATTGTTGGACAAGTTTAGGATGGGAACAAAGATTATTGAAGTATGAACCCGAAACATGTAAATTTATTTGGGCACAGGTTGACTTAAGAAAACCACAGACAGAAGCCCATATAAAAAATATAATTGAACATTTAAAACCGAAAGGGTGGTGCATTCAACACATAAAAGAACCTTTGAGCGATGGTGATATTGAGGAGATTATACGCATTTAAAGGGTAGAATACGTAATAACGTATATGACCGAAGGTAAGGTGAGCACGGACGCGGAGCACGCGAGGCACTTGTCGAGCGTCGAGATTTACAACACTATTATCGAAAATCACAATATGACACAGTTGAAGATTAATGAGATTTTAGGAATTGTTAAGGATAACGTTAAGAAACCGAGCACTTATGAAAAGAGCACGTCATCAACACCAGTTGATAAAGGCGATTGGAGTAAGAAACGGAAAACATACATGGAGAGATTGAATAAGGGCGAAATCAAAGTCCCTAAGGAAGACACGTTAAAGTATTACGATATTGAACTTAACAAAGAAGAAGAAAAGTATCAATTTAAAACGCCCACTAAAGAAGGCGAATGAGATGCGATTTAATATTATTTGTTATATTAAAACTCATCAGTAAATATGATAAGAAAAGTCATTTAATTTGTAAATGGCTACTGTTTCTTCGTCAAGGGTGGTTTTGAATACATACCAGTTGTTTTTATCTTCTTCTTCAACGGGAATATATGTTCTTAAATACCATTCCGTTGGCCCATAGATTCCGCGTGATATATCTCTTAGTGCCGTGCCTTGTATATCTTTATAAACTTCATTGTTAATAACATATTGAAATATTACTTTACATTTAACGTCTCTGTATAGCTTAGGGTTATTAATTGTAAATATACAGTCACCTGGCTTAAATTTGGGATGAACATGTATAGGTTTAGGACTTTGTATTTTGGTAAGGGTATTTACTAAAGGCTGTGCGTTTGTTTGTTGGGTGGATAACGAACTTCCCATGATTAAGGGTATAACATAACATACCTTTAAACGTGTATTTATCTTTACTTAAAACGGCTTAAAGGTATAACATGTTATATGTTATCACAGAATATGATACATATTCCCGAATACACAGAATACACAGAGTATAGAGAAGAAATTCTCAACGAGACGAAAAACTGTAATCAATGCTCTAAAATACAAGGCATATTATCAAATAAATTAAACATACTACCACAAGGGCTAATCAATAACATCTTTCAATTCATACCATGTAAGCGTTGCGAAAGGATTTTCAAAGCTTATGAAAATGAAGCGCAAAATATGGAGTATCATACTTCTTGTTTTAACGATTTGAAATTATACTATTTTGTTAAAACTCATCCTTTCCCCAAATATTCTTTTATAAAAGATAAGATTGTTCCGAATATTAAAATCAGATGTATGTCATACGATCGAGAAACAAAAACCCGCACAGAATATACGCGTGGTATTGTATTTAATAAAAAGTTTCATAAATTAATCAAAGAACTTTACAAAGAATTGTATATAGACACAGCTACACATGATTTTGAAAGATATCACGGGGGAGAAAAAAAACAATAAAGCATTATTGGACAGCTGTTATGAAATATTAAAAGCATTGTTCCAAATGCATTATGACAATGACAAATACATGGAAATGTTATATTCTAAACTTTTGCACATCAGGAAAGCATGGTTTTGATAATGTAGTTTAATATTATTATAATATAACATTAAATTTCATTAGAGACACGCTCGTTAGAGCCTTGTTTTGTAAAAACAACCTTGCCCCAGTATAAGGCTTATTGTTATTCTTGGATTTTGGGTTTAGGGGTAAGCATATTAAGGGAAATAGGATTTGGTTTTTTACGGGATTTTTTGGGCTAAGGAATAACGGGGATTTGGGTTGAGATTTTGGGCTAAGATTTTGGGAATATGGTTTTACGGTGATTTGGGAATATGGTTTTCGGGATTTTTGGGCTAAGATATACGGGTTGATATTTGGCATATGGGTATAACGGGGATTTGGGAATATGGTTTCGGGATTTTTGGGCTAAGATTTTGGGCGAATGGTTTCCATAGATNNCCCCCCCCCCCCCCCCCCCCCGGGGATCCAGAACCTCGTAAGGGCCAAGGTTGGGTTCGTCATCCTCCGGCTCTAGCTCAATCTCAAAGTCGGGAGGCACAACAAGGTATTCCTTGAGCACTGTCAGGGACTCTGCGTATCAAAACCTGCTACAGACCACTACTTCACTAACACAATGTCAACCTACCAGCCACTGCCGAACAATCTCAAAGATTCACCGCTGCTGTCCACGGCCACATACTTGCAGGAGCCACACCCCTCTTCGGACGTCCCAGAGCCACCAAGCATCTGTTTCCTTAGTTTCATG